AGAACAAGGGCCTAGCGAGTGCAAAATAGCAAGAGCAAGGGCCTAGCATGTGCAAAAAATCAAGAACAAGGGCCTAGCTTTCGCGAAATAGCAAAAACGAGGGCCTAGTGTTTGCAAAATAGCAAGAACAAGGGCCTGGCGTGTGCAAAATAAAAAGAACAAGGGTCTAGCGTGTGCAAAATAAAATGAACAAGGGCCTAGCGTGTACAAAATTGCAAGAACAAGGGCCTAGCATGTGCAAAATTGCAAGAACAAGGGCCTAGCGAGTGCAAAATAGCAAGAGCAAGGGCCTAGCGTGTGCAAAAAATCAAGAACAAGGGCCTAGCGTTCGCGAAATAGCAAAAACAAGGGCCTAACGTGTGCAAAATAAGAAGAACAAGGGTCTAGCATGTGCAAAATTGCAAGAACAAGGGCCTAGCGTGTGCAAAATAAAAGGAACAAGGGCATAGCGTGTGCAAAATAGCAACAACAAGGGCCTAGCGTGTGCAAAATAAAAAGAACAAGGGCCTAGCGTGTGCAAAATAAAAAGAACAAGGGCCTAGCGTGTGCAAAATAAAAAGAAAAAGGGCATAGCGTGTGCAAAATAGCAAGAACAGGGGCCTAGCGTGTGCAAAATAAAAAGAACAAGGGCCTAGCGTATGCAAAATAAAAAGAACAAGGGCCTAGCGTGTGCAAAATAAAAAGAACAAGGGCCTAGCATGTGCAAAATCGCAAGAACAAAGGCCTAGCATGTGCAAAATTGCAAGAACAAGGGCCTAGCGAATGCAAAACAGGAAGAGCAAGGGCCTAGAGTGTGCAAAAAATCAAGAACAAGGGCCTAGCGTTCGCGAAATAGCAAGAACGAGGTCCTAGCGTTTGCAAAATAGCAAGAACAAGGGCCTAGCGTGTGCAAAATAAAATGAACAAGGGCCTAGCGTGTGCAAAATAAAAAGAACAAGGGCCCAGCGTGTACAAAATTGCAAGAACAAGGGCCTAGCGTGTGCAAAATTGCAAGAACAAGGGCCTAGCGAGTGCAAAATAGCAAGAGCAAAGGCCTAGCGTGTGCAAAAAATCAAGAACAAGGGCCTAGCGTTCGCGAAATAGCAAGAACAAGGGCCTAAAGTGTGCAAAATAAGAAGAACAACGGTCTAGCATGTGCAAAATTGCAAGAACAAGGGCCTAGCGTGTGCAAAATAAAAAGAACAAGGGCATAGCGTGTGCAAAATAGCAAGAACAAGGGCCTAGCGTGTGCAAAATAAAAAGAACAAGGGCCTAGCGTGTGCAAAATAAAAAGAACAAGGGCCTAGCGTGTGCAAAATTGCAAGAACAAGGGCCTCGCGTGTGCAAAATTGCAACAACAAGGGCCTAGCGAGTGCAAAATAGCAAGAGCAAGGGCCTAGCGTGTGCAAAAAATCAAAAACAAGGGCCTAGCGTTCGCGAAATAGCAAGAACAAGGGCCTAGCATTCTTCTCATGGTATCGAGCAGGTTCCCCTATGGGAACTGCGCCTAGGGCCCACCACTCGAAAATTTTTTTTTCTGCCTGAAGCGCTCTCATCCCGAGTCACGCCTCGGCCACTCTTTCAACGTAGGTGCCTGTGGACTTCGAGGAAGCCATCTCTGCATCCATAGCTGCCTGCCACTGAGAGGAGTAGGGACCCTCTACGGCCTCCGCGTAAGAGCGCGGAGTCGGGATGTCTAGTGCATCCGGTTCTCCCTCAGGAGCAAGCAGTACAGACGCGAGATGAGGTGAAGCAGCAGCCAGACACTGGAACTCCTCCTGCGTGTCCTCAAGGACGTCCGTGCCAAGAGCACACTCACCCCCGACGGACGGAGGACAGACAGACGCAGACTCAGCAACAAGACTGGCAGCGTAGTCTAGACGATAGCGAGCAGCAAAGTCGACGAGCTCACCGACAAGAGCAGACGCAGCAGCGGACTCAAAAGAGGGGTCAGTGACGACAGTAGCAAGCAGACGCGTGACAGTAGGACTGGCAATACAAAGGGAGTCCGACTCCGGGTCAGCAAGCGTAGGAAGAGAGGACTCAGGAGGAGAAGGCAAACGGGCACGCGGAGGAGCAGTGGACGGACGCAGAGACATCCGGTGCATGCCAGGGACAAGAGGAGGACGCTGACGCGAACCGCGACCACTAGCGCGAGCAGCACGAACAGGCGACGCGGGACGAGACGCAGGCTCACGACGCTCAGCAAGACCCCCAGTAGGACCTGTGTAAGGAGAGGGAGCAGGCAGTGGGGAGGTAGGCTCCAATAGTGACTGCGACTGGACAGGCTGTGGACACTCTACAGGAGGAGAAAGACCAAGAACCTGCTGTAGGAGCGGAACGAAGTACGGCCGAGGCCGCGCGGCAACTCCTGACTCAGCAGGGACAACACCAGCACCCTCAGCGGCAGCACCAGCAACACCAACACCTCCAGCGGCAGGACCTCCAGCAGCACCAGCAGCAGGACCACCGCCAGGACAGACAGCAGTAGTCTCAGCACCAACACCCTCAGCAGCTCCAGCTCCAGTAGGACCCGCAGGCCCAGCAGCTCCGGGACCGGCGGCACCAGCACCCTCGGCGGTCGAAGAAGCTCCAGCTCCAGCAGTACGCCTCCAGCGGCGAGCAAACCACTCGCGCAGCTCCTGTGGAGAGAGGGGCTCCCGCCGAGACGAAGCACCAGGAGAAACCCCAGGCTCAGCAGCTCCAGGCGCAGTACCCCTAGACTCAGCACCTCCAGGCTCAGCAGCTCCAGACGCAGCACCCCCAGGCTCAACAGCTCCAGACTCAGCACCCCCAGACTCAGCACCCCCAGGCTCAGCAGCTCCAGGCACAGCCCCCCCCCGCTCAGCACCCCCAGGCTCAGTACCCCCAGCAGCAGCACCCTAAGGCTCAGCACCCCCAGTAGCAGCACCTCCAGGCTCGGCACCCCCAGGCTCAGCACCCACGCGCACAGCACCCCCAGAGTCAGCACCCCCAGGCTCAGCACCCGCAGCAGCACCAGAGTCACTAGTAACCTCGACCGGGTCAACTGCGTCTACCTGGGACACACCTGAGGGGGGAGGGGGTCTACCGGGGGGGGAACCGGCACAAGGAAGTCCGGTGGCGGGGGGAGGGAAGGAGTGCGGTAGGGGAAGAGACGGTAGAAGGGGACTGACTCGTCGAACGTGACGTCCTGGGACGACACAACACGACGAGAGGAAGGGTGGTAGAACTGCCACCCTTGAGCGTCAGGGGGGAAGCCAAGGAAGACACAGGGAGCAGCATGAGGGGACAGCTTGTCTGCAGACAAGTCGCGGACAAACGCCCGAGATCCCCAGACACGGAACGCAGACGCATCGCCGACCTTCCCCGTCCACAGCAAGACTGGGGACATCGCGGGCCGAGAGACCCTGGGGTGGAGGTTGAGCTGATGCGCCGCGTACCGAACCGCAAACGGCCACAGAAAATGGGGGGCAGCCGCATGCATCATGGACGTACGAGCGACATCCATGACCATGCCAATGCGGCGCTCAGCAATCCCATTTTGCTGTGGAGAGTCCGGAAGCGTAAAGGTCTGGCGGATCCCCCGTGCACGACAGTAGTCTCGTAGAAGGCGAGAGGAGAACTCCCCACCTCGGTCAGAGTGCAGACGCAGAACAGGAAAGTCCGAGCCGAAGCTCCTCCTGAGCTGGAGACGAGCCTCGCGGGTCCAGTCGATCAGCACCGCAGTGACATCACCCTTGCTGCGCAAGGGGAGGACTGTGGTGTAACGCGAGTAGTCGTCAACCACCAACAGGAAGTAGCGCTCGTGACCCTGCCCACGGACGCGGGCCGGGCCCCACACGTCCATGTGAAGTGTCTGCAGAGGAGCCTCTGTCGGGGGAATCTGGGAGGAGTGAGGAGCAGCCCTGAGGCGCCCCTCGACACAGGGGACACAGGAAGGTCCTGGCCCCGAAGGAAGGGGAGGGAGAGACTGGGGAAGACCAGAGACAAGGACACGGGAAGCCATGCCCCGCAGACGGGGCAAGGAGGGGTGGCCAAGACGGTGGTGCCACAGGAGAGTCTCGTGAGACAGGAGGCGACACGAACAGGGGGCAGACTCAGGGCCAGACCGGGACGCAGCAACAAACACCTGACCTGACGCAGCTACCTGACCAGACGCAGGGACAGGAGGAGACTCAGTGGTCAGGGTGTAGAGACTCGACCCCGGCCGACGAGAGAACGTGGCCAGGTGCCGGCCTGTGCGTGCGTCCGTGCAGTGGGTCACCCGCTGACTCGCAGGAGTGAACTAGTGAACCCCTGCATCCTGCAGGTCCGCAACACTCACCAAGTTCGTCGAGAACGAGGGAAGGTACAGACCAGACAGGGTGCCCGAGGGGGCAGCCGGACACGGGAGGACAGTGGAAAAGTGAGAGAGGACAGGACCCCCAGAGGGGTCAGCCAGGGAGACTGCAACCGGCCGACCAAGCGGCGTGAGTGTGGTGCAGTCTCGAAAGAAGGAGCGATAAGCTCCGTAGTCAAGTGTGAAAGTGAGGGAGGCCGAAGCCGACGCAGTACCTGAGAGCGCAGCTTCACCAGTACCTGAGAGCGCAGACTCACCAGTACCTGAGAGCGCAGCCTCACCAGTACCTGAGAGCGCAGACGCACTGGCACCTAGAGCAGCAGTCTCACAAGCACCTAGCGCAGCAGTACCAATTGTGAAGTAAGGAAAACAGGAATGAAAATGACTAAGGAAAGATTGGGTACAAATACAACCCTAGAAACCCTGTACCCCATATGTGCTACCCCACTATAGCCTAGAAACATGCATCAGCTATAATACTCTGACACACCCCCATAGGCTAAGTGGGGGAGAACAAGGGGTCACAAGACCAGTCAAGCAAAGCAAAGCAAAGCAAGCTCAGGGTGGATCACAAAGTCACCACACAGTCCGAGCACAAGAGCAGGGCCAGAGGCCAGTTCACATGCAGGAGTACAGACATATATATATAAAACTAGACAAGCAAGAGCAGGTATATATATATGTCACAGTACAAGTGAAGTCAAGAGGAGAGCAAGTGAGGCAAGACAGGTACAAGACCCAGCTGGGTGCAAAAGCGCTGATGGTCACAAGGCGCGAGTGCCTTGGTGAACACATCAGCAGTGTTGGCCTCAGAGGCCACGTACGCAAGTCGCAACTGACCACGCTGCTGCAGCTCACGAGCAAGGAAGTAGCGGAGAGCAATGTGCTTCGTTCTGTGCTCCAAGCGCTGCTCTCGACACAAGGCCAGCATGGCCTTGTTGTCTACGTACAGCACTGGAGGAGAACGAGGCGGCTCTCCAAGGTCAGTCAGCAGGTAGGTGAGCCAGCGAAGCTCCTGTGCAGCCATGGCCCCGGCGTAGATCTCAGCCTCACAACTGGAGCCGAGAACCGAAGACGAGCGAGTAGACCGCCACGAGACAGAGCCGGAACCAAGGCTGAAGGTGTAACCCTGTGACGACCGCTGCGTAGCCTGGTCGTCAGCCCAAGAAGCGTCCGCGTGGCCGGTAAGGACCACTGGACTCCGCCCTCCAAGCACTAGCTCCATGCCCGACGTACTGCACAGGTAGCGCAATACCCTCTTCGCTGCAGCCATGTGCTCCGGTCTGTGTCTCCCAGGAGCAACATAGCGTGCAAGAATGCTCAGAGGGTATGCAAGGTCAGGTCGTGTGCAGGTCATCAGGTACATGAGGCAGCCAACAAGCTCTGCATACGGACCACTCGACTCTACGGACTCATCCGAAGGCAGAGCTGAGAGTGAGTGGCGAGTAGGCGGAGGAGTGGCCTGAGGCGAGGAGTACGTGAAGCCGAAGCGCTGAAGGACCTGCTGCACCATGTGTGACTGAGTCAAGGTAATGGTGCGGCGTGCTCTGTCCCGAGTGATCTGCAAGCCAAGGTAGCTGCGCAGTTCACCCAGGTCTGTGCACGTGTGTCTCTTCAGCAGCTCGGACTTCAGCAGTGTCCGCTGTGGCAAAGACCAAGTCGTCGACGTACACGAGGATGTAGAACGGCGGCAGGGAAGTGTCGGTGCGAAGAAACAGCGACGGGTCAGCAGTAGAAGGAGCAAACCCAAGAGCCGCAAGCGTAGTCCTCAGTGTGTCGTGCCACTCACGCGGTGCCTGGCGGAGACCGTAGACTGGCCGTCGGAGGCTCCACTGGGTGCCAGGAGGGAAAGTCCCAGTGAAGCCAGGTGGACGGCGAAGCCAGATCTCCTCGTGCAGGCTACCCTGCAAGAACGCAGTGCTGAAGTCGAGAGAGTGAAGCTCGTAGTCGCGCTGAGCGGCTATGTGCAACAGCACCCGAAGAGTAGTCATCTTCGGGGTGGGAGAGAAGGTCTGAAAGTAGTCAACTCCCTGCCGCTGACTGAAGCCACGAGCAACGTACCGTGCCTTGAAGACAGGTGGAGAGCCCGGCGGCCGCTTCACCCTGAAGATCCACATGCCACTGACGATGTTCGCCCCAGGAGGGGGAACCGCGTCAACGTAGGTGCCTGTGGACTTCCAGGAAGCCATCTCTGCATCCATAGCTGCCTGCCACTGAGAGGAGTAGGGACCCTCTACGGCCTCCGCGTAAGAACGCGGAGTCGGGATGTCTAGTGCATCCGGGTCTCCCTCAGGGGCAAGCAGTACAGACGCGAGATGAGGTGAAGCAGCCGCTAGACACTGTAACTCCTCCTGCCTGTCCTCTAGGACGTCCGTGCCAAGAGCACACTCACCCCCGACGGACGGAGGACAGACAAACGCAGACTCAGCAACAAGACTAGCAGCGTAGTCGAGACGACAGCGAGCAGCAAAGTCGACGAGCTCAGCGACTAGAGCAGACGCAGCAGCGGACTCAAAAGAGGGGTCAGTGACGACAGTAGCAAGCAGTCGCATGACAGTAGGACTGGCAGCACGAAGAGAGTCCGACTCAGGGTCGGCAAGCGCAGGAAGAGAGGACTCAGGAGGAGAAGGCAAAGGGGCACGCAGAGGAGCAGTGGACGGACGCAAAGACATCCGGTGTGTGCCAGGGACAGGAGGAGGACGCTGACGCGAACTGCGACCACTAGCGCGAGCAGCACGAACAGGCGACGCGGGACGAGACGCAGGCTCACGACGCTCAGCAAGACCTCCAGTAGGACCAGTGTAAGGAGAGGGAGCAGGCAGTGGAGAGGAAGGCTCCAGCAGGGACTGCGACTGGACAGGCGGTGGACCCTCTACTAGAGGAGAAAGACCAAGAACCTGCTGCAGGAGCGGAACGAAGTACGGCCGAGGCCGCGCGGCAGCTCCAGACTCAGCAGGGACAGCACCACCACCCTCAGCGACAGCACCAGTGCCACCCACACCTCCAGCGGCAGGACCAACAGCAGTAGGCTCAGCACCAACGCCCTCAGCAGCTCCAGCTCCAGGAGGACCCGCAGGTCCAGCAGCTCCGGGACCGGCAGCACCCGCACCCTCGACGGTCGAAGAAGCTCCAGCTCCAGCTCCAGTAGCACCTCCGGACGCAGCAGCACGCCTCCAGCGGCGAGCGAACCACTCGCGCAGCTCCTGTGGAGAGAGGGGCTCCCGGCGAGACGCAGCAGCAGGAGAAACCCCAGGCTCAGCAGCTCCAGACGCAGTACCCCCAGGCTCAGCAGCTCCCAGCACAGCACCCCCAGGCTCAGCAGCTCCCGACCCAGCACCCCCAGACCCAGCACCTCCAGGCACAGCACCCCCCAACTCAGCACCCCAAGGCTCCGCACCCTCCGCAGTAGCACCCTCAGGCCCAGCACCCCCGGCAGTAGCACCCCCAGGCTCAGCACCCCCGCGCACAGCACCCCCAGAGTCAGCACCCCCAGGCTCAGCACCCGCAGCAGCACCAGAGTCACCAGTAACCTCGACCGGGTCAACGGCGTCTACCTGGGACACACCTGAGGGGGCAGGAACCTGAGGGGGGAGGGGGTCTACCGGGGGAGGAACCGGCACAAGGAAGTCCGGGGGAGGGGGGAGGGAAGGAGTGCGGTAGGGGAAGAGACGGTAGAAGGGGACTGACTCGTCGAACGTGACGTCCTGGGAGGACAGAACACGACGAGAGGAGGGGTGGTAAAACTGCCACCCTGGGGCGTCAGTGGGGAAGCCAAGGAAGACACAGGGAGCAGCACGAGGGGACAGCTTGTCCGCAGACAAGTCGCGGACAAACGCCCGAGATCCCCAGACACGGAACACAGACGCATCGCCAACCTTCCCCGTCCACAGCAAGACTGGGGACATCGCAGGCCGAGAGACCCGGGGGTGAAGGTTGAGCTGATGCGCCGCGTACCTCACCGCAAACGGCCACAGAAAATGGGGGGCAGCCGCATGCATCATGGACGTACGAGCGACATCCATGACCATGCCAATGCGGCGCTCAGCAATCCCATTTTGCTGTGGTGAGTCCGGAAGCGTGAAGGTCTGGCGGATCCCCCGCGCACGACAGTAGTCCCGCAGAAGGCGAGAAGAGAACTCTCCGCCTCTGTCCGAGTGCAGACGCAGAACAGGAAAGTCCGAGCCGAAGCTCTTCCTGAGCTAGAGACGAGCCTCGCGGATCCAGTCGATCAGCACCTCAGTGACCGCACCCTTGCTGCGCAAGGGGAGGACTGTGGTGTAACGCGAGTAGTCGTCAACCACCAACATGAAGTAGCGCTCGTAACCCTGCCCACGGACGGGGGCTGGGCCCCACACATCCATGTGAAGCGTCTGCAGGGGAGCCTCTGTCGGGGGGAAGTGGGAGGAGTGAGGAGTAGCCCGGAGGCGACCCTCGACACAGGGGACACAGGAAGGTCCTGGCCCGGAGGGGAGAGGAGGGAGAGACTGGGGAAGACCAGAGACAAGGACACGGGAAGCCATGCTCCGAAGACGGGGCAAGGAGGGGTGGCCAAGACGGTGGTGCCACAGGAGAGTCTCGTGAGACAGGAGGCGACAAGAACAGGGGGCAGACTCAGGACCTGACCGGGACGCAGCAGCAAACACCTGACCTGACGCAGCTACCTGACCGGACGCAGGGACAGGAGGAGACGAAGTGGTCAGGGTGTAGAGACTCGACCCCGGCCGACGTGAGAAGGTGGCTAGGTGTCGGCCTGTGCGTGCGTCCGTGCAGTGGGTCTCCCGCTGACTCGCAGGAGTGAACTGGTGAACCCCCGCATCCTGGAGGGCTGCACCACTCACCAAGTTCGTAGAGAACGAGGGAAGGTACAGACCAGACAGGGTGCCCGAAGGGGCAGCCGGACACGGGAGGACAGTGGAAAAGTGAGACAGGACAGGACCCCCAGAGGGGTCAGCAAGGGAGACCGCAACCGGCCGGCCGAGCGGCGTAAGGGTAGTGCGGTCTCGAAAGAAGGAGCGAGAAGCGCCGGAGTCAAGTGTGAAAGTGAGGGAGGACGAGGACGACGCAGTACCTGAGAGCGCAGTCTCACCAGTACCTGAGAGCACAGACGCACTGGCACCTAGAGCAGCAGCCTCACAAGCACCTAGCGCAGCAGTACCAATGCCCGGGTCGGGCTGGAAACAACGGTAACCCTCATTCTCCTCACTATAATCCACAACATACATAGCAGCAAGGATAGCATCAAAATCAAGATCAAAGATCGCTACACCAGCCCTGAGAAGCTCATCCCAGCGAGGGATCTCACTAGCCCCAGGGAACTGCTGACGCCAAGCGTCCGTCAGGCGGCCAAAGCAGCGCTGGGTGGCGTGGGCACCCCCACACTGCTCACCCGCGCGGTCGCCGGAACGAAGAACGTAGGTGCAGGGACCAGTACCCCCACCCCTCTGACGCCCAGCGTACCACTCACGAAGCTGCTGAGGCGGAGGGATGTCCCGCGAGCGCTGCTGCTGCTGCCGCTGCGAGCGCTGGCCACCACCACCGCCGCTACGCTGCTGGGTACCACCTCGACCAGCTCCACCTCCTCCACCACCACCGCCTCCTCCGCTGCCGCCTCCACCGCCTCCACCTCCGCCGCCTCCACCACCGCCGCTGCCTCCACCACCACCACTGGCACCACTACCACCGTCTCCGCCACTGCTGCCACCACCACCACCACTCCCGCCACTAGTCCCGCCGCCACCCCCACTCCCTCCGCCGCCACCGCCGCCACCGCCACCGCTCCCTCCAGCTCCACCCGCGCCCTTGCCCCCCTTGCCCTTGCTGGAGCGACGTCTCCCACTAGGGGCAGACGCCGCGCCGACCGACTCAAGACCAAGCAGGTCGGCAGCAGCAGAAGAGGCAACAGAGGGCAGCAAGGGGGAAGGAGAGCACCCCTCAAAGATGGGGGTGCGAGGGTCACCACGAGAAGCACCTACAGCGACTATGCTCTTCTCCGCTGCGAGGAGGGCCTTCTCGAGGAGGTCGACGGTTAGGGTGGTGGGACAGACTGCGAGAAAGTGGTCCCTGACGACGCGAAGGGAGTCAGGGAGGCGCGCGACTACGTAGTAGAGAGCGATGTACATGGGGGGGGGGGTTCTTAGCGCAGAACTCAGCAGGAAGGGCGGCGCGGTAGCGAGTGTCACTAGTGCGGAGGTGCGTAATGAGGTCAGCGACAGTGGGAAAAGCAGAGAGGTCAGGAAAGAGGTAGGGAAGCATGAGACGGCTCAGTGCAGCAGTGGCAGGGGAGGAGTAGCGCGCAACTATAGAGTCGTACAAGGTGTGAGCACTCTTGTACTGACTAAAGTGCGCACGCTCAGAGGTAGGGAGGTGGCGACGCACAGCAAGACGTGCAGCAGCATCGCGGGTGGCCCACTTAGAGCGGACAGTGGGATCAGCATCAGCAGCAGGAGCAGGAGAGGCGCCAGAGGTGAGGTCAAAGAGAGAAAGGTCGTCAGCCCTGTCGCACTGTAAGAACAGTTGCAGGTCGTCTAACCAGACCTCAAAATCAATGGCGCGACCCTCAGCGTCAAAAGCTAGGACACTAGGGGTAGCCATGGCGACGACAGCGACGCAGTGCAAGCAGTAGGGAAAGAGCTCGCAGTGTCAGTAGGACTGTGCTCACCAGGCAGGGCAGGTCGTGCAGCTATGCAGAAAGGCGGCTCAGCGACCGGGCGGCTCGGGTGCACAGCGGCTCGGCTCCCGGGCGGCTCGGCGGCTGGGCGGCTCGTGCGCAGGGCGGCTCGGCTCCCGGGCGGCTCGGCGGTAGGGCGGCTCGGGTGTAGGGCGGCTCGGCTCCCGGGCGGCTCGGCAGCAGGGCGGCTCGGGTCCCGGGCGGCTCGGCGTTGGGCGGCTCGGCTCCCGGGCGGTTCGGTTGTACCCCTTGTGGGCTACCCCACTATAGCCTACACAATATGCATGAGCTATAATGTTCTGACAGAGGAATGTCTGAGGGGCGAGAGGACCAGGTAAAAGCTGTTGGGTCATTGTCTGGACTGGGCGCAACGGGGTTGATGGGATTGTCGCGAGTGAATGTTACTCGATCCCAGTAACGGGACCCTCTGTTGCGTCGAGCCATGCAGCTTATGATTGTTCCTTTTCCTTTGTCCTTCGCCGTGATGTGTGCAGGGGATTGTGAAGTGCTGGCGACGGAAGGAGGCGACACAGTGGCGGAGGGCTTTGTCTGTGTCGATGGTTGTTGGTTGGAGGCGTTGCGCCGTTCGTCAGCGGCCTGACGCTTGTAGCACTGGTCGATAGAGTGGCCAGACTTCTTGCAGATTTGCAGAAAGCTCCCTTCTTTCCGCGTTGTTCCCCTTGTGATGCTCCTGTGTAGAAGACTAATTTCTCCGGTGCAGTGGCGGGCCGGCAGGTGCAGCGGCGGGCCGGCAGGTGTAGCAGCGGACCGGCAGGTGCAGGCGGCGGGCCGTAGGGTGCAGCGGCGGGCCGTAGGGTGCAGCGGCGGGCCGGCAGGTGCAGCGGCGGGGCCGTCAGGTGAAGCGGCGGGCCGCTGGGTGCAGCGGCGGGCCGGCAGGTGCAGCGGCGGGGCCGTCAGAGGCGGCGGGCCGCTGGGTGCAGCGGCGGGCCGGCAGGTGCAGTGGCAGGCCGGCAGGAGCAGCGGCGGGCCGGTAGGAGCAGCGGCGGGGCCGTCAGGTGAGGCGGCGGGCCGGCAGGAGCAGCGGCGGGCCGTAGGGTGCAACGGCGGGGCCGTCAGAGGCGGCGGGCCGCTGGGTGCAGCGGCGGGCCGGCAGGTGCAGCGGCGGGCCGGTAGGAGCAGCGGCGGGCCGGCAGGAGCAGCGGCGGGGCCGTCAGGTGAGGCGGCGGGCCGGCAGGAGCAGCGGCGGGGCCGTCAGAGGCGGCGGCGGGGCCGCGGCAGTAGAGGCGGGGCCGCGTCAGGGGAGGCGGCGGGGCCGCGTCAGGGGAGGCGGCGGGGCCGCGTCAAGCAGGCGGCGGGGCCGCGAGGGAAAAGGCGACCCGAGGGGTCGCTAAAAAAAAGGCGCGCCTCGGGGCGCGCTTCGGTGGGCCCTAAAAAAAACGGTCCTAAGGCAGGACCCGCTCTATACCATGTGAAGTAAGGAAAACAGGAATGAAAATGACTAAGGAAAGATTGGGTACAAATACAACCCTAGAAACCCTGTACCCCATATGTGCTACCCCACTATAGCCTACAAACATGCATCAGCTATAATACTCTGACACCAATGCCCGGGTCGGGCGGGAAACACCGGTAACAGTCACCCTCCTCACTAATAGTCACAGCATACATAGCAGCAAGGATAGCATCAAAGTCAAGATCAAAGATAGCTACACCAGCCCTAGACAGCTCTCCCCAACGGGGGATCTCACTAGCCTCGGGGAACTGCTGACGCCAAGCGTCCGTCAGGCGGCCAAAGCAGCGCTGGGTGGGGTGGGCACCCCCACACTGCTCACCTGCGCGGTCACCGGAACGAAGGACGTAGGTGCACGGACCAGTACCCCCACCCCGCTGACGCTGCGTGTACCACTCACGGAGATGCTGGGGCGGAGGGATGTCCTGCGAACGCTGCTGCTGCTGCTGCTGGCGCTGACCACTACCACAGCCGCTCCGTTGCGGGGTACCACCCGGACCAGCTCCACCCCCTCCGCCACCACCGCCTCCTCCTCCGCCTCCTCCGCCGCCTCCACCTCCACCGCTGCCTCCACCACCGCCGCCTCCTCCGCCGCTGCCACCACCACCACCACCCCGCCACCACTCCCGCCGCCACCCCCACTCCCTCCGCCGCCTCCACCGCCCCCTCCAGCTCCACCCGCGCCCTTGCCCCCCTTGCCCTTGCCAGAGCGGCGTCTCCCACTAGGGGCAGACGCCGCGCCGACCGACTCAAGACCAAGCAGGTCAGCAGCAGCAGCAGAGGCAACAGAGGGCAGCAGGGGGGAAGGAGAGCACCCCTCAAAGATGGGGGTGCGAGGGTCACCCCGAGAAGCTCCTACAGCGACGATGCTCTTCTCCGCCGCTAGGAGGGCCTTCTCGAGGAGGTCGACAGTGAGGGTGGTGGGACAGACTGAAAGAAAGTGGTCCCTGACTACGCAAAGGGAGTCAGGGAGGCGTGCGACTACGTAGTAGAGAGTGATGTACATGGGGGGGGGGGGTTCTTCGCGCAGAACTCAGCAGGAAGGGCAGCGCGGTAGCGAGTGTCACTAGTGCGGAGGTGCGTAATGAGGTCAGCGACAGTGGGAAAGGCAGTGAGGTCAGGAAAGAGGTACGGAAGCATGAGACGGCTCAGAGCAGCAGTGGCAGGGGAAGAGTAGCGCGCAACTACAGCGTCGTACAAGGTCTGAGCACTCTTGTACTGACTAAAGTGCGCGCGCTCAGTGGTAGGGAGGTGGCGACGCACAGCAAGACGTGCAGCAGCATCGCGGGTGGCCCACTGAGAGCGAACAGTGGGGTCAGCATCAGCAGCAGGGGCAGGAGAGGCGCCAGAGGTAAGGTCAAAGAGAGAGAGACCGTCCGCCCTATCGCACTGTAAAAACAACTGCAGGTCGTCGACCCAGACCTCAAAGTCAATGGCTCGACCCTCAGCGTCAAAAGCGAGGACACTGGGGGTAGCCATGACGGCGACAGACAAGCAGTGCAAGCAGTCGGGAAGGGCACGCAGTAGTAGTGGGGCAGTGCCGTGCTCACCAGAAAGGGCAGGTCGAGCGGTCCGGCTCGTGGGCGGCTCGGCTGCTGCGGGGCGGCTTGGCTGCTCCCAGACGGCTCGGCTGCTGCGGGGCGGCTCGGCTGCTCCCAGATTACTCGGCTGCTGCTGTGCGGCTCGGCTGCTGCTAGGCGGCTCGGCTGCTGCTGGGCGGCTCGGCTGCTGCTGGGCGGCTCGGCGGCTGCTGGGCGGCTCGGTTGCTGCAGGGCGGCTCGGCTGCTGCTGGGCGGCTCGGCAACGGGGCGGCTCGGCTGCTGCAGTCGGGCGGCTCGGCTGTTGCAGTTGCTGGGGCGGCAAGGCCGCGAGATCAGGGACGGCGGGGCCGCGTATCAGGGGCGGCGGGGCCGAGAGCGCTGGGGCGGCGGGGCCGTGAGATCAGGGGCGGTGAGGCCGTGAGATCAGGTGCGGCGGGGCCGGGAGCGCTGGGGCGGCGGGGCCGCGATGCAGGGGCGGCGGGGCCGCAATGCAGGGGCGGGGAGGCCGCAATGCAGGGGCGGCGGGGCCGTGAGCGCTGGGGCGGCGGGGCTGCGATGCAGGGGCGGCGGGGCCGTGAGCGCTGGGGCGGTGGGGCCGCGATGCAGGGGCGGCGGGGCCGTGAGCGCTGGGGCGGCGGGCCGCGATGCAGGGGCGGCGGGGCCGGTAGCGCTGGGGCGGCGGGGCCGCGAGTTCAGGGGCGGCAGGGCCGCACGATCAGGGGCGGCGGGGCCGCTGGAGCAGGGGCGACGGGGCCGCGAGAGCAGGGGCGGCGCGGCCGTGAGCTCAGGGGCGGCGGGGCCGCGAGATAAGGGGCGGCGGGGCCGCGAGATCAGAGGCGGCGAGGCCGCGAGCAGGGGCGGCGAGGCCGTAAGAGAAGGGGCGGCGGGGCCGCTGGAGCAGCGGCGGCGAGGCCGCGATCAGGGAGCGGCGGGGCCGCGCGAGGAGAGGCGGGGGGCCGCACGATCAGGAGCAGCGTGGCCGCGTGAGCAAGGGCGGCAAGGCCGCGAGAGAAGAGGCGGCGGGGCCGCGTTAACGGGGCAGTGGGGCCGCGAGGGTAAGGCCGGCCGCCAGGGCGGCTCGGTGAAAGAGTGGCCCGAGGCGCGACTCGGGATGAGAGCGCTTCGACAAGAAAAAAAAAATTTCGAGTGGTGGGCCTTAGGCGCAGTTCCCATAGGGGAACCTGCTCGATACCATGAGAAGAACGCTAGGCCCTTGCTCTTGCTACTTCGCGAACGCTAGGCCCTTGTTCTTGATTTTTTGCACACGCTAGGCCCTTGCTCTTGCTATTTTGCACTCGCTAGGCCCTTGTTCTTGCAATTTTGCATACGCTAGGCCCTTGTTCTTGCAATTTTGCACACGCTAGGCCCTTGTTCTTTTTATTTTGCACAAGCTATGCCCTTGTTCTTTTTAATTTGCACACGCTAGGCCCTTGTTGTTGCTATTTTGCACACGTTATGCCCTTGTTCTTTTTATTTTGCACACGCTAGGCCCTTGTTCTTGCAATTTTGCACATGCTAGACCCTTATTCTTTTTATTTTGCACACGCTAGGCCCTTGTTCTTGCTATTTCTCGAACGCTAGGCCCTTGTTCTTGATTTTTTGCACACGCTAGGCCCTTGCTCTTGCTATTTTGCACTCGCTGGGCCCTTGTTCTTGCAATTTTGCACACGCTAGGCCCTTGTTCTTGCAATTTTGCACACGCTAGGCCCTTGTTCCATTTATTTTGCACACGCTAGGCCCTTGTTCTTTTTATTTTGCACACGCTATGCGCTTGTTCTTGCTATTTTGCAAACGCTAGGCCCTTGTTCTTGCTATTTCGCGAAAGCTAGGCCCTTGTTCTTGATTTTTTTGCACATGCTAGGCCCTTGCTCTTGCTATTTTGCACTCGCTAGGCCCTTGTTCTTGCAATTTTGCACACGCTAGGCCCTTGTTCTTGCAATTTTGCACACGCTAGGCCCTTGTTCTTTTTATTTTGCACACGCTAGGCCCTTGTTCTTTTTATTTTGCACACGCTAGGCCCTTGTTCTTGCTATTTTGCAAACGCTATGCCCTCGTTCTTCTTTTTTTGCACACGCTAGGCCCTTGTTTTTGCAATTTTGCACATGCTAGACCATTGTTCGTTATATTTTGCACACGCTAGGCCCTTGTTCTTGCTATTTCACGAACGCTAGGCCCTTGTTCTTGATTTTTTGCACACGCTAGGCCCTTCCTCTTGCTATTTTGCACTCGCTAGGCTCTTGTTCTTGCAATCTTGCACACGCTAGGCCCTTGTTCTTGCAATTTTGCACACGCTAGGCCCTTGTTCTTTTTATTTTGCACACGCTAGGCCCTTGTTCTTGCAACTTTGTACATGCTAGACCCTTGTTCTTTTTATTTTGCACACGCTAGGCCCTTGTTCTTGCTATTTCGCGAACGCTAGGCCCTTGTTCTTTTTATTTTGCAAACGCTAGGCCCTTGTTCTTTTTATTTTGCACACGCTAGGCCCTTGTTCTCGCTATTTCGCGAACGCTAGGCCCTTGCTCTTTTTATTTTGCACACGCTAGGCCCTTGCTCTTGCTTTTTTGCACTCGCTAGGCCCTTGTTCTTGCAATTTTGCACACGCTAGGCCCTTGTTCTTGCAATTGTGCACACGCTAGGCCCTTGTTCTTTTTATTTTGCACACGCTAGGCCCTTGTTCTTTTTATTTTGCACACACTAGGCCCTTGTTCTTGCTATTTTGCACACGCTATGCCCTTGTTCTTTTTATTTTGCACACGCTAGGCCCTTGTTCTTGCAATTTTGCACATGCTAGACCATTGTTCATTATATTTTGCACACGCTAGGCCCTTGTTCTTGCTATTTCACGAACGCTAGGCCCTTGTTCTTGATTTCTTGCACACGCTAGGCCCTTGTTCATGCAATTTTGGACATGCTAGACCCTTGTTCTTTTTATTTTGCACACGCTAGGCCCTTGCTCTTGCTATTTCGTGAAAGCTAGGCCCTTGTTCTTGATTTTTTGCACACGCTAGGCCCTTGCTCTTGCTATTTTGCACTCGCTAGGCCCTTGTTCTTGCAATTTTGCACACGCTAGGCCCTTGTTCTTGCAATTTTGCACACGCTAGGCCCTTGTTCTTTTTATTTTGCACACGCTAGGCCCTTGTTCTTTTTATTTTGCACACGCTAGGCCCTTGTTCTTGCAATTTTGCATATGCTAGACCCTTGTTCGTGCTATTTCGCGAACGCTAGGCCCTTGTTCTTGATTTTTTGCACACACTAGGCCCTTCCTCTTGCTATTTTGCACTCGCTAGGCCCTTGTTCTTGCAATTTTGCACACGCTAGGCCCTTGTTCTTGCAATTTTGCACACGCTAGGCCCTTGTTCTTTTTATTTTGCACACGCTAGGCCCTTGTTCTTTTTATTTTGCACACGCTAGGCCCTTGTTCTTGCTATTTTGCACACGCTATGCCCTTGTTCTTTTTATTTTGCACACGCTAGGCCCTTGTTCTTTTTATTTTGCACACGCTAGGCCCTTGTTCTTTTTATTTTGCACACGCTAGGCCCTTGTTCTTGCAATTTTGCAACGCTAGGCCCTTGTTCTTTTTATTTTGCACACGCTAGGCCCTTGTTCTTGCTATTTTGCAAACGCTATGCCCTCGTTCTTTTTTTTTTGCACACGCTAGGCCCTTGTTCTTGCAATTTTGCACATGCTAGACCATTGTTTGTTATATTTTGCACACGCTAGGCCCTTGTTTTTGCTATTTCACGAACGCTAGGCCCTTGTTCTTGATTTCTTGCACACGCTAGGCCCTTCCTCTTGCTATTTTGCACTCGATAGGCACTTGTTCTTGCAATTTTGTACACGCTAGGCCCTTATTCTTGCAATTTTGCACACGCTAGGCCCTTGTTCTTTTTTTTTGCACATGCTAGGCCCTTGTTCTTTTTATTTTGCACACGCTAGGCCCTTGTTCTTGCTATTTTGCACACGCTATGCCCTTGTTCTTTTTATTTTGCACACGCTAGGCCCTTGTTCTTGCAATTTTGCAAAGCTAGGCTCTTGTTCTTTTTACTTTGCACACGCTAGGCCCTTGTTCTTTTTATTTTGCACACGCTAGGCCCTTGTTCTTGCTATTTTGCAAACGCTATGCCCTCGTTCTTTTTTTTTTTGCACAAGCTAGGCCCTTGTTCTTGCAATTTTGCATATGCTAGACCCTTGTTCGTTATATTTTGCACACGCTAGGCCCTTGTTCTTGCTATTTCGCGAACGCTAGGCCCTTGTTCTTGATTTTTTGCACACGCTAGGCCCTTCCTCTTGCTATTTTGCACTCGCTAGGCCCTTGTTCTTGCAATTTTGCACACGCTAGGCCCTTGTTCTTGCAATTTTGCACACGCTAGGCCCTTGTTCTTTCAATTTTGCACACGCTAGGCCCTTGTTCTTTTTATTTTGCACACGCTAGGCCCTTGTTCTTGCTATTTTGCACACGCTATGCCCTTGTTCTTTTTTTTTTTGCACACGCTAGGCCCTTGTTCTTGCAATTTTGGACATGCTAGACCCTTTTTTTTTTTATTTTGCACATGCTAGGCCCTTGCTCTTGCTATTTTGCACTCGCTAGGCCCTTGTACTTGCAATTTTGCATATGCTAGGCCCTTGTTCTTGCAATTTTGCACACGCTAGGCCCTTATTCTTTTTATTTTGCACACGCTAGGCCCTTGTTCTTGCTATTTTGCACATGCTATGCCCTTGTTCTTTTTATTTTGCACACGCTAGGCCCTTGTTCTTGCAATTTTGCAATGCTAGGCCCTTGTTCTTTTTATTTTGCACACGCTAGGCCCTTGTTCTTCTTATTTTGCACACGCTAGGCCCTTGTTCTTGCTATTTTGCAAACGCTATGCCCTCGTTCTTTTATTTTTGCACACGCTAGGCCCTTGTTCTTGCAATTTTGCACATGCTAGACCCTTGTTTGTTATATTTGGCACACGCTAGGCCCTTGTTCTTGCTATTTTGCGAACGCTAGGCCCTGGCTTTTGCTATTTTGCACTCGCTAGGCCCTTGTTCTTGCAATTTTGCATACGCTAGGCCCTTAATCTTGCAATTTTGCACACGCTAGGCCCTTGTTCTTTTTATTTTGCCCACGCTAGGCCCTTGTTCTTTTTATTTTGCACACGCTAGGCCCTTGTTCTTTCAATTTTGCACATGCTAGACCCTTGTTCTTTTTATTTTGCACACGCTGGGCCCTTGTTCTTGCTATTTCGCGAACGCTAGGCCCTTGTTCTTGTTTTTTCGCACACGCTAGGCCCTTGCTCTTGCTATTTAGCACTCGCTAGGTCCTTGTTCTTGCAATTTTGCACACGCTAGGCCCTTGTTCTTGCAATTTTGCACACGCTAGGCCATTGTTCTTTTTAAATTGCACACGCTAGGCCCTTGTTCTTTTTATTTTGCACACGCTAGGCCCTTGTTCTTGCAATTTTGCACATGCTAGACCCTTGTTCTTTTTAATTTGCACACGCTAGGCTTTTGTTCTTGCCATTTCGCGAACGCTAGGCCCTTGTTCTTGACTTTTTGCACACGCTAGGCCCTTGCTCTTGTTGGGTGCAAAACGTATTTTGCACGTCAACCTGTCGCCTATTCGTCGAGCGATGTGAAATTTGAGGGTATTTGTTTTGAGGTATTTTGTGTGGTGTGGAATGCGCATTTGTGTGCTTTTCATTCTGGCGTTTACGGTTTATGAATCGCCTTAGCGGTTCATAAGTTATGTGCATTTTTGTGTGAGGTTCCATTCATGCGTTTTCATGATTGTTCGTGTGAATTTCGTGTTGTTTGTGTCGTGTCATGAA